GTGGCCCTGCAGCCAGCCAGGCGAGCGAGAGGGCGGCTCAGCGCCGACCCTGGCGGTGGCGGCAGCGGCGTGTTGGGCTGCGCCTCACCCGTACTGCAGCAAGACCTGGTTGCCTGGGTCCTTGATGTTGCCCTTGCGGTTCAGGATTCTGAGCGAGAGCCTCGACAGGACATTGAACGCCACAAATGTGCCGAAGACGAGCGTTGGGACCTGCTTCTTGCTCTCAATCCACTCCTCCTGCTGATCTGCTGGCAGCCAGAGGTGCGCGTCCCTGGGCGCCGCCATCGCGCAGGAAGCAGCAGTCAGTAGGATGCGAGAGCGCTCCGTTGTCCCCAGGCTCGGCGCAGTGGGTCGACAAGGCAGCCACACGGCTATGGGTTTGCGCGTTCGGCTCGCGCCATGACATGGAGGGCGGCGCCAGCCTGGACGGCAGCAATCGCCGCTGCAGAGCCCTCCCCATTCACATTGGACAGTTCTTGAAAACTGTGTACATCCTGTCTCCACCCTATCACTGATTCCTTCCTCGCAATTTGCAGCCGCAGCAGGTCACTTATCCCCTGCTCCCACCGCCGCCGCCGGCCCGCTGGGCTGCAGCGGCACGTCCTGCATGCCCAGCACCTTGAGCAGGAAAGCAAACTCAACGGCCAGCTCCTTGAGCCGGTCAAACCGCCCGCTCTGGCTGCACCGCCAGGGAGTGGGGCAAGCGCGGGCACAGCCAGTGAGATTGTCATGCCATGAGATTGTCAGTGAGATTTGTCTCGGCCGCCAACACCCCTGCATGAACCTGTCCACTCAACTGCTTGCACACCCACCTGAAGTGGCCAGCCCCCATGTCGCACTTCAGCAGCAGCAGGTTGCTGTTAGTGCGCAGCTCCCGAACCTTGGCCACAAACCTACAGGCCAGCAGGAGCGGAGGCAGGGTATGCTGTCAGCACTGGGGTGCCTCCAGCTGCTACGACTTCGCACACATGCACCAGCGGCATGCTGCCCGCTGCCCCAGCCGCAGGCAAGCGCAATGCATGCGACGGTCTGCCGCGGCACTGCATCGCATGCGCTCACTTTGCCGGCTCCCAGTATCCTGCAGGGCATGAGAGCATGCGGCATGGCAGATGGGGATTGCCAGCCAGGGCACCACACACGCACACACACACACACATGCGTGCAATGTGAGCAACGCAGCGGCAGCGGCAGCCACAGGCCCTCCTCCCACCCACTCACCCACGCGAGGGTCGTGCAGCCCCGCCAGCACCAGCATGTGTGGGTAGGCTGCAGGGCGGACATTGTCCACGGGGCTGCAGGCAGCTCGCAGCAAGCCAGCACGTGCACCAGGCAGGTGGGGAGGGGCAGGAGCGGTCCATCCCAACCCAACGCCACACACACACACACACATGTACACACACACACATATGTACACTGTACACGCACCAATGTCAATGCAACCACACACACACAGGACAATGGCAGCAATGCCTTAGCCACCAGAGGCGGCCTGACCTCCAGCACAGGCAGCTGCTGCCCTCACTGCGCCACCTGCATCGCCCACTTGCCTGTAGCTCTTCATGTAGTCGTAGAACTCCTTCTGCTGCGGGTTGCCCCACTCCTCCCACTCTATCACTGCAGCACAGGAGGGGAGGACAGCGGAGCACGGCGCGCCGCAGGAAACGGGTTAAAGGCGAGGGGCAGGCAGCAACGGCAGGCGGAGGCCTCACAGGCTGGCTGCCACCCATCGCCCATCACACGCATGATGGCGGCAGTGGGGCGCCACAGCCACCCAGCTTGAGTGCGCCCTGCCGCGGGCGTGGCGCCAGGCAGCCCCCCCACCCGTGAGCGGGATGGTCTCATCCAGCATGGTGGTCAGGCAGTCCACAAAGGGCACCCCCAGGATGGCGGCGCAGAAGAGGTCAGGCCGCATATTGACCACAGCGCCCATCGTCAGCCCGCCGGCTGCGGGGAGGGGGTGGGTGGGTGAGGGAGGGAGGGGATCAGGGCCGGCGGAAGCAGGCAAGGGAATGGAGTGTGGAGGCCCAGAGGCCCAGAGGCCCAGAGGCCAGGCCGCGGGTGTCTTGCTCAAAGGTCCCTGCCCCCACATATAAACGCCCACACGCCCCCAACACCCCCCGCGAAGCCCCGCCCCACCCACCCGACCGCCCCTCTATGCACAGCCTCTGCGGCGAGGTGTACTTGTGCGCCACCAGGTGCTCCGCGCAGGCGATGAAGTCGGTGAATGTGTTCTTCTTGCGCAGGTACTTGCCGTCCTCGTACCAGCGCCGCCCCATCTCGCCTGCAGGCGGAGCAGGGCGGGGGGCTGCCGGGCTCAGCCGCCGCCAGCTGCCGGCACAGCCCATCGCCCAACAGAGCCAACCACCGGGCAGCGGAAGCAGCGCCGGCACTGCAAGGCCTCCGCGCACTGCCGGCTCGCCGACAGTGGATGCCGGCTGATGCTGGCGGGGAGGCGTCTGCGGCGGCGGCGGTCGGCGGCGGCGTGGGGCAGCGGCGCGCGGCCGCGCACCTCCCCCCCGCACGTGGGCGATGGCAAAGGTGATGCCCCTGTCCAGCAGCGAGAGGCGGGAGGAGCGGAAGTCGGGGTCGTTGGGCATCTCGTAGCTGCACAGCGTGGCACAGCGTGGCACAGCGTGGCAGGTCGCGCTGGGGGGATCCATTCACACTGAATTCCTACGCCCCGCCACACACCACACACCACACACACACACCACACACCCACCTGCCGTAGGCGTCCAGCAGCATGGGGTCGCTGCCGTCTAGCCTCGCCAGGTCTGTGCGGTAGACGAGGGAGATGGGGACGCGGGTGCCGTCGGGCGCGGACGCCCACAGCCGCTCGGTGGCGTAGCGGGCGGGGTCGAAGCCGCCCAGCACGGGCTGCACCTTCTTCACCGCCCGGGCCCCCGTAGCCATGTTGTAGTCGATGGTTTGGTCGGGTGTGCGCAGGGAGCAGTAGTGCATGCGCAGTACCGGGGAGCCAAAGTCGCCTTGCGCGCCGCAGCTGCGCGGCGTGTGGGGCGGGCGGGGCAGGCGGGGGTGGGTGTGGGAGCCGGCGGGTTACCCGCCACAGGTTGGCCTGCCGGCACCGGATGCCGCGTCGCCGCTTCTGGGTCCGCATGCAGCGGCGGCGGCGGGGCGCCCCGCTGCCAGCCGCAGCCGACCAGCCGCGGCTCACCTCAGCTCATACGCCGGCTCCTCAAACTTGATCGGCTCCCCCTCCCCCAGCTGCGTGGGCATGCCGCCGTCGCCCGGCAGCCTGCGGGCAGGGAGCGGGGCAGCGCGGTGAGGCGAGGCGAGGCGCAGGGTGGCTTGGGTGCGCAGGGCGTGCCAGGGCGGAAGCGGCACCTCGCGCGCGGGCAGTGCCTGCGCTGCCCCTCGCCGCCCTCCGCCCCGCCCACTCACTTGTACACGACGGCCTGCTGCAGGCCCTCCCGCCGCTCAAAGCTGACGAGGAAGTCCTGGCTGGCCTCCACGTGCTCCAGCTTCACCGCCTCGCGGTGCGGCAGCAGCACTGCGGGGCGGGCAGCGGCGGGAGCAGGCAGGCTCGGGGGCGGGCGTGGAAGGGGAGCGGGTGCAGGCGAAGGTGGTTGCCCACAGGCCCAGGCCGGACGGTGCAGGGATGCGCTGGCGACCGCAGGCAGCAGCAGGGCTCAGAATCCGTCCCCCTGCTGGCAACCAGCAGGCCACCCCCCCGCCGCCGCCTCCAGCCCAACCCCTCGCCCACCCTGCGTGGCTGTGGGGTCGGCCATGGGGGCCACCAGCAGCTCGCTGTTGGGACGCTCCTGGTCCCTGCACGCACGCACACACACACACCAGAATGAGTGCCCTGTGCGCAACGCACGCCTCCACCCAAGCCCTGGCAGCCCCGCTGCCCAGGCCCCCACGCGTGTTTCCAAGCTTCCAGCTGCACCCGCCATTACCATCACACCCTCACAAACACAAAGCAGGAGGGAGCCATCACGCTTCGCGTCTCTCTCCCACAAAAGGGAGGAAGAAAGGGAGGAGGACAGGGCGGCTGCCGCACCTGATGGTGATGAAGAAGTGGTTCCCCCGGTCCTCCACAGAGTACTCCACCTCGCTCCGCCGCGGCAGCACCACCCGCCACTCCCCCAGCGGCTCGTCCGCGCTCAGGTAGCGGGTGTCGCTGGTGACGGCGGAGCCTGCGGGCGCAGGGTGCGTGGCGGGTGGGGCGGGGGGAGTGCAGTGGGTGGCAGGTAGTGGGAAGGTGGTAGGTGGGAGCCGAGTGGGTGGTAGGTGGTAGGTGGCAGGTGGCAGGTGGCAGGGGGTGGCGGTTGTGGCGGTGGGGTGTGCACGCGGCGCACGGTGCAGCGGGGGCGAGCGGAGCGCCGATTGCCGCAGGCGCCCGCAGCTCTGCCAGTGCCTGGCTGGCGGGACCCAGGCACGCACCCGCGTGGATGTACAGCAGCCGCTCGGTGCGGCTGCGGCCGATGCCGATGTAGAAGGATTCGTCCTGCTCGTGGTACACGCACACGTCCTGGGCGGGGGAGGTGCCGATGACGTGGCGCCACACCTTGAACGGCCTGCGGGAGGTGCCCGGGTGGCGGGGCCGGGCCCAGGTGGGCGGGCGGGTGAGCTGGCGGGGTCAGATGCGAGGAATTGCCGCAGGTACGGCTGGTACGGGAGAGAGAGGGGAGGGCAGGGGAATGCCTGCCTGGGCACGCCCGCTGTCGCCACAGCGCGCACCACCCGCAGCCTGCACCAGCCCCCGCACACCCTCCACCCGCGGCGCCCAGCTGCCGACAGCCACCGCCCGCCCACCAGCCCCTCCCCCACCACCGGCCCCACCTGTCCAGCTTGTCCTTGGTCACGTAGAACAGGGTGCGGTTGTCGTTGGCAAAGGCAAAGTTGCCCGCGGTGTCGGGGATGGGCTGCGACAGCACCTCCCGCCCGCTGCCCACCTCCCGCACCCGAAGCGTGTACTTCTCGTTGCCGCTCGTGTCCTCCCCCCACGCCACCAGCCTGCAGGGGCAGGGCGGATGCAGGGGCGGGTTTGGGGAGGGGCGGGCGGCGGCATGGGGGCAGGCGGCAGAACCTGGGCCGGCCGGCAGCCTTTCCGCGGGGCACCCCTCCGCGTGCTCTTGCTCCGCAGCCCTTCCACCAGCCTGCCATCACCCCCCAACCTTCCCAAACACACACACACACACACACACATACACACGCACACACATACCCGCCCCTGGGACCCACCTGTGGTCTGGCGACTCCTGGAAGCCCGCCACCATGTAAAATTTGTGCGCCCTGGCCTCCGCATTCTCATCCAGCAGAACCTCCTCTGCGGGGCAAGCGGCGGCGGGGCGGGACACTCTGGGGGACAGGAGGCCGGAGCAAGCAGGCAGGCGAGCAGGCAGGATAGACAGGTTTTGAGGCGGCCGGGGAAGGGCGAGGGAGGGCGGCAGGAGCGTGGCTCCAAGTATGGGAAGCCGGCCCCAGGCCCAGACGGGCACGCAGGCACACCAGGCCGCGGCGGCCTGGCCACCTCACCTGGCACAGACTCGTCAACGGCGTCCTGCTCGCTGGGCAGCCCCGCGCCGGCCGGCAGCTTCCGCCGGCAGTGCACCGCGTACTGCTGCCCCTCCTCGGTGCGAGTGTAGTAGAAGTACTGCTGGTACCTGCGGGACGGCGGGTGAGCGGCGAGGAGGCAGCCGGCATGGAGTGCGACTGGCATGCTGGCTGGTGAATGGCTGGCTGGCTGTCAACAGATGGCTGTCAACAGACCCTGCACACACACGCAAGCACCACCAAACCCTACACACCCATCCACCACCACACA